GTACAAAATAAGCCCCTCCCTCACCTGGAATTTACCACCTGGTAAAAAATCTCTGCCTTTAACTTTCAAACTTACCTTGCTTTCATAATAGTCAGCCGGTAAAACACTTGGCCAAACTAAATAATTCCGATTTGATATTGTAGTTTTACCAAATTATTTTTGCACACAGCTTTAAGCAAAGTTTTAAAGCTTTTAAATAATCCATGAAAGTGCTGCATGCTATTTGGTGTTTGTTAATTCATGCAGTTCAATTAATGCGCTTCTCACTTAGGATGAAGTAAGTTATCTTTTATCAAAGCAAGAGTTATAGCTGTAGTTTGCACTGGCGTTTTTTTCCATTGTTGAGAAGGAAGTATTACTCAATTATATCACCTTTTCATTTATTTATTCTTTCGATTAACTTAACAATCTAACAGATTTTGTGAGCTTTTCCATCCCATTTTGTTCACGATGTTTGAAAGATGTATAAGCTTTAAGCAAATGATTTTAAAACGGTGTTATAATAAACGACATAAACATTTCCTTACAAAAACATACCCCAAGTATGTTGAATTAATGTCCGTCTGAAATATAGAAAAGCTAATTTAATAAGAAATATACTTTCTACTGCCCATCCCTATCCCCTCCTTCCTTCGACGAAAAAGGATTTCCTTTTGCTTGTCAAACTTTGTTTAGGTAACCCCCCTTCCCCTTTTCAAAATCAAAATTTGTACAGTTTTATAATCGAGATCGATCACCTTTGTAATTGATACTTGTATGAATCATATCAGAGGTGTAACTTGATATGAGTAAATATATTAAAATTTAGATGAGATAAATGTTTGTTCTAGATAATTGAATAATCGGTAATTGCTAATGACAAAAAATCGTTGTTGAGTGAACACGGACCTTTAAACCATCACAGGTAGGATCAGCTGTCATGGAAAAGTGAGCATCCCCTGTCGACCGGTCACACTAGTCATGTGCTTTTGTCATGATGGGACAAATAAAAATATCGTACACAATTCATAGTGTAAATAATAGCCTAACGATTAGTATGACAAATGTTAGTAATTGACTTAATGATGGATTGTACGTGCATGCTGACCAGTCATTGAATAGATCATAAAACTTGTGAAATAATGATTTTCAGCTCGCAAGACTGTTAATATCATTGATTTATCAACTTTTTCTTTCAATATACTAGTATAGCTTGATTCGTTTTTATAATTGGTCGTATATGCGTAGTGCATGTTATTATGTATCGAATCATCTAAGATACATAACCCTCATATGCAGTTGAAAAGTGCCATTGCCAGACACGTATGATTGCATGGTTGATTGACTGTCTGTTGTTGCACTCAATATTAAGGAGACGCCACCACCTGCTGGTGGGGAGCTACACATTTTGTCATTATAATGCTCGACACTCAGGGCCACTGAGCATTGAGGGATCTTTTTCGTGCAGCACCTACTGCAACACGGGTTCCCGGTTTATATGGTCTCATTGGAAGGATCGGTCTCCACGTCACACTGTGGTATTCGAACCCTCGACATAAGGACCAACTTCTTATTTCGCGTTTCTGGAGCAGACGCTCTAATTACTTTCCAAAGCTGGCGACCCAGACAAGTACGAGAAAGTGACTATAGAACATTGAACTCATCACGTTTACATAAAGTTTGAGTTCAGATAACGATTGTTGTCATTTTTAGTAAAATATCCAAATATGAAACAGATGTGGCAGACTCTTAGGTATCTTTAAATTCAATTTCACTGAGACATATTGTGCGACATAGGAATGGAAGTAACTATTTTTCATTTTTAAAACATTGTTGATGAAACATATGGAGATTATGAACAGTATTCAAGATCAGAATTCCATAAAACAAGACAGACCTCCAAAACATCAAAGGTGGTATCAGGTGCCATGGAGAAATGAACATCCCCTGCTGACCGGTCACATCCGCCGTGTGCTCCTTGTAATGATCTGGAAATAACGGGAAAATCCGTCGTCAATTCGGTGTATAATGAAACATATGGAGAGTACGAACAGCATTCAACATTAAAAGTCCATAAAACAATACAAAATAGGAGCATAGCAAGCACGGACCTCCAACACATCAGAGGTGGAATCAGGTGCCATAGGGTGAGGAGTGAGCATCCTTTGTCCACCGGTCACATCCGCCGTGTGCTTCTACTCATGATCGAGAAATAACGGGAAAATCCGTCGTAAATTTAGTGTATAAATAATCGACTAACAATTAGTATGAAAAACGTCAGTCAGCATTTGACTCAATAATAAATTGTATTTGCTGACAAGGTCATTGTATTGCCATAGAACGTACGAAATGATGACTTTTAAGGAGATGCTGATATTCTTGTTTCATCAACTTGTTTGTTAATAATTACCTCGTTTTAGAAATTGTTCATACGTAGAGCATGTTCTTGCGTATCGAACCAACTGAGATAGATAAACTCCCTATGCAGGCGATGAAGATAGCTGCAGAAGTAAGGAAAGTTGATGATAATAGAAAAGTTAAAGTCAGCACGTTTATCATAGATATCAATGTTGGTTGTTAGATTACCATTAATGTCTTTTTCAAGTAAAATATTGAAATATGAAACAAATGTGTCAGACTCTGTGGTATCTTTAATTTCAAGATCACCAGGATATATCGTATCGACATAAGAAACATAAGAATGGAAGTTACTTTTGTTTATTGACAAAACGTCGTCAATATGTCTACAGGAAAATTTTTCTTCTTTGCACAAGATTTTGCACAAATTCTGCTTCATATGAATACAAAAGAAGGTCTGCAAATAACGGGGCGCAATTGGTACCCATTGGAATTCCAATAGATTGTTGGAAGACCTGGTCTCCAAAAACCACATAGATATTGTCAATCAGAACCTCAAGCATCTTCTTGATGTCAGCTTTAGATTACTTGTGTGTACAATCAGAATGTTTCTTAACAAAATAATTTTGCAAATGATCAATGAAAGGTTAGTATTTTTACGAGTTCCATTTTTATTGAAAAAGCAGCTATCAATGATATAAAAAAGTCTGGATTTTAATTTATCGCATGGAATGGTTGTGTATAAAGTTGAAAAGTCGTAAGTTTTCAAGCTGTTGATTTTGGTAAAAACTTGTGATTTCAAATTGTCAAAAAGTTCTTTGGAATTTATAAGTATCCAGATCTGATATACACCACTTCTTGAATATATTGTTGCACAGTACTCTTGAGGTTTCTCCTTCACTACTGTTAATATTTGAGTGAGGAGAGGCTCGGTTGAACATTTTCTGGAACCCGCTATGTATCTTTGTTTGTAAGAATTTTTATAAAGTTTCGGTATCCAATATAGGTATGATGGTTAAAATTCATTTTGGTTCTTCAGAATATTAAAAATATTCCTATCCGACAATTGATTTTGAAGAATTTCTTCTTAAGAAAGGGAACTATGAATATAAGTTGGATTACCACTTGTAAAATTTAATCCAAGTGACAGACTATGCATACAAACTTGAGACCCAATTTAAAGTCGATTTTATATCACTCTCTCAAAAAGGACATTGTGTTACTGTTCTCTTTGACACTCATACATTTTTTAAAATAAACTTGTAATGACTCTTTTGTTATGTTCTTGTTATTTTTTTAATGGTAAACTAAATCAATACAAGGTATGAGTATGCATCATCACAAATGAATAAATATATATTTCAATAATTTTTTTTTTCGAATTCTAAAGAACCTAATATAGAATTTATGAATATTTAATAAATGGCTCTGATACATGAGTGCTTCTAGATAATGAAATACCTTTAAATACCTTTAAATTTTTCTATTTTTCTACTTTAGAAATCCCGTTTTGTTTTTTTCGAAATGTAAAGAAATGAAAGTAGACTTCTCAGAATTGAAATATATATAAATTGGTGATAATTCATATAAATAGCAGTAGCCTTTAGTTACCCGTGTAGTATATCAACTTCAACAGATTAAAACAGACAAGGAAGAGTTTTGTAGTGTTGTGACACACTCTTCAACGACTTTACACAGGGGTATATCAGGATAAGGCAATTGAAGTAAAGGAAACTCTTTCTGTTTCAGAGGTAAGATCGAGATAAAATACAATAAAATTTAATCCGGTATCGATTTGCTTACATCAGCCTATTTTAAAATATTACCTTTACTTAAAAAGGTCATTTTTGGTAAGAATTTTTTTTGTACTTTTGACGTTTATTTTATTTTTTACGCCCTGATAATCTCAAAAACATTTAAAGCATATATTTTTTTCTTTTTCTTATAAATCATCTTCTCAGATAAAATAATTCGTATTTTAAATTCGTAAGCACCTTTCTTAATTTCGTGCAATTCAAAAAAAGTCAACTCTTCGGTTTTCTTCTCTCCCTTAGTACATGTAATATTAGCCATGATTTGATGAAAAATAATTTTACATCATATTCCTATTGTCTCAAAATTTAATGCCATGCTATTTTGAAAGATAACTAATGTAACACAAAAAAAAATTGAAGTTCAAATCCAGGAATTAAAACGCATTCACATACAATAATCTAATGACATTTTTTTTGAAATTGCTTGATGATGCAGTCCTTAAAATGATAGTATACGACAAAACAATTAAAAGGTTCCCAAATCCTAACTTAAAGATGTTTTCAGTATCTTTTCTAACAATTTGTGATGTAAATGTATCATTGGCGTTATAACCTTTAATTCATTCACGTTTATGTTAATTGTCATTTAAAGGGCTCAACTTTTTGCTGTAGCTACACAAGGATGAACTCTCATCCAGAGTTTTCCAGAGAGGACCGTGATTATGTACGAAACAAACAATCAAGTAGACGTCCAAGTTTAAAAGAATTAACCAGATCACATTACAGAAGCATACCATATGAATATCACCGACTAAAAGAAAACAAACACAAGCATTCAAATCACAATGAGTATCCAACCTCAAAAAATCATTCTAATAGAAATGCTTGTAGGCGTGAAAGCACCTCGAAAAGATATCGAATATCAGAAGAAAACCATAAAGATTTAAATAGGTCTGCGGTGAACATGGATGAAAACGCTTATAGAATGTACGATAATGATCAAATATCACGAGATTACCGTGAAGATAGAATGAGGTCTATAAGACGTGGGTGTGAGGACACGCCCAACGGTTACCGTGGAAACCAGACGTCATGGGAGGACCACGAAGAAATGGATAGATTTACTAGTCGGAGCTATGAAGACCTGCGAAACAGTTATCATCGGGACCAACCTCCCAGAAAAGACTTCCAATATAGGAATAGATCTACTAGACCAAGATATGAAGGCAAGCAAAGCAGTTGTAGTCGAGATCAACCATTAAGAAGAGACCACGAAGAAGGAAAAAGGTCTAACAGAAAGAGGAAGGAAGGCATTCCAAACAGTTATCTTAGCAACGAAGCATCAAGAAAAGACAACCAAGACAGGGATAGGTCAGCAACACGCAGACATGATTCCAGAAGAGAAGATGGTTACTTGGAAAAGTTTGAGGGACGTAACATGTCAAGAACAGATGAGTGGATTGTTACACCTGATAAGAATAGTATAGAGGAAAGCGATGACTTTGTTGCTAAAATTTACAAAGTTTTGCTAGATGAAGGTGGTAAATTGAAGAAAAAACGTTTTGAGGCCTGTCTGCGTGCAGAACCATTAACGATGAGATTTATGCCAAAGGGCTCTTTCATCAGATTTTTAGAAGATTATAGAAATGTTTTTGAAATCTCTGATGGATCATATAATGAACAAGAAGAAGGTGAAATAACAGACCCGGAAGTAAGAGCAAGGTCAAATATTCAGATATGCCTTGATCACTCTAGTTCATCTCAGATGTGTAGAGGAAATTGTAATAATTTGCATATCTGTAAATTTAAATTAATCAGCGATTGCCCATTTGAGAATTGTCGGTATGGACATAATCTTGAAACAGATCACAACCGTCATTCTCTTATGCATCACTTTTTGCAATTCCTTAAACCTGATCAGGTCCGGATTTTGATAAGCGATATGGAGCACAGAAGGGGTGTGACAATACCTTCTATTTGCACTTATTACAATAAAATCAAGGGTTGTAATGAACCTATAAAATGTCCACATCTACATGTCTGCGCTTTTATCGCAGGTAAATGTGGGTTCCAACCCAACTGTAAACGTTCTCACAATCTGGAAGACGAACAACCCAAGAAGGTTTTGAGTAAATTTGGGATAGAGGTGAACGCACATAACAAAGCTAGTTTGTTGAAAATGCTTAAATTGGGTTCTCTGCATTCTCCAGGAGGTCAAGGTCAAGGTGGTAGGAAAACAACCCATCTTTATAGTCGTAGTGGATCAATTGTTCCAGATTAGACTGCCCAAGAAGAAACAAAAGACAACCAGGAAGGAAATGTCTTAGAACCTCGCTTTGAAATCAATAAACCTCTTCGTTATTGGAATATACAGTAGATTGTGAAGGATGACTACTACTTTTAAAGGGAAATTTTCGGTTATTGTGAAAAAAAAATCAAAGAATATCTTATAATTGAAATGAAAGAAAATGAGAAAAAGTATTTTTTGAATACACTTTACATACTATAGCTTATAAAAATGTATCTAAGCAGAGAATGTATCCGACTATGCTTTAAAAGTATAGTGTCGTTTGATTGTGTAAGTTTGATGTGAGATTAAAATAAAACGCTTACAAAGTAAAAGATTCTTGAAAACGTATATTGCACCCACAGAGTTCCTGGAACAGTTTTCAAAAAATCACTTATCTGTTGTGTTTGCCGTGAATATCTACAAAATAAAGGTTGTTTAATCCATTTCAAGTATTTGTTTGTTTTACATCATTGTTTAGGAATTTAAAATTTTTTATTTGATTTTGCAAAGTTGCCTTAAACATACAATTAAATTTTTGTTCTTGATTTCTAACGTATTTGGCTACTTCAAAAGTACTCAGTGCTCAGAATATTATGTACAAAACGTATCGCTTCTTACGTTTTTACTAGTGAAATACGTTAATAACAAAACGTAAGTATTGCATGCCAGACTAATAAGCACGTTAAAGATACATCTAAAGTGAATTCAAAACATTCTTGATCATAGAGAAAAAAAACTGCTATTGTACTTTAGAACTGTACTCAGTTATAGGCTACTCACAATCAAAACAAAAAAGGGAAAATAATCAAGATGTAAGCGATGCAAGAAGTTTGAGAAATGCAACACAAGATTATTTCATGAATTCTTAAAATAATCATAAAAATCACAACAGTTGAGCATTGGGTTAGTAACTAAGTATTGCACACACATTTTACGAATTTATTTTTGCACACCAGATATGTAATTTAAGAATAATTTGTGGGAGACAGGCATCACCTAGAAATTATCATGAATATGTCAATATCTTGAGCATACAAGTGCAAAATTTCGGGAAAAAAATATTTGATAAAAAAAAAAAAACATGATCCAGTATTTCTAAATGGAAGGTTTCTGATGAATACTAAATATGCTGTATGAGCAACGTTTTCAAATCTACTTACCCGATACAACAATTAAATAAAAATTTCTATCTTCCACTTCTTTGTTTCTCCTATATTATTTTTTAACAGTATATTAAATACGAGAGGCAAAATCAATCCACAATGATATCAAAAGATGATATGGTCATCAGAAATGGTCATAAATACAGAATTTGCTAATAAATAACATATGTTTGGTACTTTTATAAGTTCTAGTTCGTGTTAACTTACAAACTAACACCACTGCTCAATAACGCATATTATAAGAAACTTACCATTGGAGAGGCAAAGTGCAACGTAACTAGTTTATTTTCTTACATTGTCATTGGATATAATATGCTATATTAATTTATCAAAGCCTATCAAAGACAACTGCTTTTCTTCAACAGAAAATGATATTAGTTACTTTTCTTCATTGTCATTGGATATATGCAATATTAATTTATCAAATTTCTGTATTAATTTGAAACAAAACAGAATTCCCACGCTGAATTAAAGCCTATCAAAGACAACTGCTTTTTTTCAACAGAAAATGAAACTAGTTAATTTTCTTACATTGTCATTGGGTATTTGCAATATTAATTTATCAAATTTCTGTATTTATTTGAGAAAAGGCTTGAATGGAAAAACGAAACACTAGTCTTGTTATGGCATTCAACTCGAAATTTAGATATCTTGATAAGATATTAATTAATAACAGTTACTTCCATTTATTTGTCGATTCGATATATCCAGCAAAAATTGAAGTAAAAGATACCACAGAGCCTGAAAGTTCTGTTTCATATTTGAATAATTGTTAGAGTATTAGATGCACACTGAATTGCCGACGGATTTTTCCGTTATTTTCCGATCATGACAAGTAGCACACGGCGGATATGACCGGCCGGTAGGGGATTCGTACTTCTCCATGGCACCTTATCCCATCCCTGATGTTTTGAAGGTCCGTCTTTGCTCTGCTCCTATTCTGAGCTTAAATACTGTTCTTTAGATAGAAATGGACGATAATGATAACCCTACCAACAAACCTTTAAATGATAAACTTGATAAATTCAAATTGAAATCGCCTATTTGCATTCCTTTTATATGTACCATTATGTATCCATAACCTCTGCATATGGAGTTTTAAATAGAGAAACCCTTTAATTTATACGATTATTGTACATGCTAAATTTAGGGAAAATCTACGGTCGAGTTTTTTTTTTAAACGGACCGATTCAAAATACCTGTATATTACATGTACATTAAAAGTTATTTAATCGTACTTTAAGCAAATTATAGATATACTAAAATAGACTTTTCGATCAATTTATAATATATGATGAGTAATACTACACTGTACAATGCATGTATATGAAACACACAATTCTCCTGTCATGTTTCCGAAGGAGGCATCTCAATATGTCAAAATAAATAAAATTTCCCTGTTTTTATGGAGTACTACAAAGTATTACAGATACAAAGAATTAATACAAAAAAATTATAAAATAAAAAAAATCTCAGATTCTTATGTTTTAATTACATTGAAATAACTTTACAGGGATTAATAACAGACGGTACTTTAAAAGTCCTGGACCAAAATGCAGGTTAAAATTTGGCAATTCGAATTTCCTTGGTTCCAGTGGAAATCTAGATAGTCTAGGGAGTATTCATTATACAAATATGGACTCAATGTAGGTCAAAATGCATTTATAATGACCCAGGGTGACAGATATTGACCTCAGATACATGGAGTATATCGACCGAGGGCGCTAGCCCGAGGTCGATCTATTTCATGTATCTGAGGTCAATATCTGTCATCCTAGGTAATTATAAATGCATATTGACCGTGCATTGAGTTCATATTTATTATATTATATAAATAACATTTCCCAAATAATAATATTTCCCAAATTTATAAGTACAATGCATATCTTCCTAATGTTTACTAAGAGAGTATTAACCATAAACAAGTTGAATGTATATGTTTCAGAATTCATTGAATGTTACTCAGAGGAAAATGTTTCGGTAATAAATTTTAACCCATATCATAATAATAACGCAAGATATCTATCTCCAAATAACACAGAGTATCCCCTCCCCCAGATTGAGAATCGCACTCATTTACACTTGCAGAGGAAATGCACTGACAAAATATAAATACCTATGTCTTCTACGATAAGATACAATCATACATGGCATGCTTGTCTTTATTTTCTATATAGTCTCCGTAATCGCGTAAACAGCGCTAAAACTCTGCTCGCCGAGTGGAAAAGTCGAACTCAACCATGAAATGGTATGTACTAAGTATTCTCGAAAAAAGTTCACAGATATCCTTGTAATTGTTTTGTATTCTCAGCCCCAGAGTTCTTAACTATATCTTTTATTAAATTTTCCTCACCTACAACTTGTGAACTTCCATGTTTGCCTAAGCGAAAGTGAAAACGAGGCAGCTCGTGCGAGTCATTATTCGCTTTCAGCGGTCGTTATTAAAAAATAATAACTTCGTATTGGCCAATCAGATTACCGGATTTCACAAAGTTATATAATATTACCCAGTATTTATTGTAGTAAGAAATACAAATAGATGATATCACCTATTGGAATTTGTGATATCACCGATTCAAATGGAATAGGTGATATAAACTATTTGAATATGTAATATCACTTATCGAATAGGTGATATTACCTATTCAGCAAGTATAGGTGATATCACATATTCATTTCCAATTCCAAAAGTGAAGGATATGGAGATAACGAGCAGTAACCATAATCAAATATAAAACAATACAAAATAGGAGCAGAGCAAACACGGACCTCTAAAACATCAGAAGTGGGATCAGGTGCCATGGAGGAGTGAGCATCCCCTGCTGACCGGTCACACCCGCCGTGTGCTCCTTGTCATGATAGGGAAATAACGGAGTTTAAATCCATCGCCAATTCAGTGTATAAATAATGGACTAACAATTACAACCAAGCTATATGATAAACGTGATGACTTTACCTTTTCTATCTTCAACTTTCCTTACTTACAATGTACCTTCATCACCTGCATACGGAGTCTATACATCTCAGTTGATTCGTTACGCAAGAGCATGCTCTGCGTAAGAAACAATTTCTTAAACGAGGTAAATTATCAACACGCAAGTTGATGAAACAAGAATATTAACAGTCTCGTTTAAAGTCAACATTTCGTAAATTTTATGATCGCTACAATGACCTTGTCAGCAAATACAATTTATCATTGAGACAAATGCTGACTGACGTTTTTCATACTTATTTTTAGTCCATTATTTATACACTGTATTGACGACAGATTTTTCCCTTATTTCCCTATCATGACAAGGAGCACATGGCGGATGTGATCGGTCATCAGGGGATGCTCCGTCCTCCATGGCACCTGATCCCAGGTCTGATGTTTTGGAGGTCCGTGTTTGCTCTGCTCTTATTTTGTATTGTTTTATGTACTTTGAGATTGAATACTGTTCGTTATCGCCATATGTTGACTGTTATATAAAATTATGTTGACTGTTATATAAAATGCCACGGAACCTGGTGGACTGTCACACACTAAACCTTTAGAGTGCAAACAGTCTGCTGACTGGTTGGAAATACCCGACATGGTTTCAATTTTACAGTTAAAAAAAGATTCAGCGCTACACAATATCATGATGATGACTGGACACAAAATTAAAACTCTTGGGGCTCGTTTCTCAAAAAAGCTTATGGCGTTAAGCTTAGTACGGACTAAATCAGTAACAAGACCCGAGAATTTGACTAAGTTGCGTTTCACAAAAATTTGGAGACTTAGTCAAGACTAATCTTAAGCTGAAATCTACCTCTGCTCATGAGTAGTGTTTTGTACACAACTTGGTAAAAGTGGCAGGTGTTTTGATCACCAAAACTTAAAATCTTTGGATGATAATGGGAAAGGAAAGTACAACATCAAACTTTATATGAAAAACAAATATCAATAAATTTTGCTTATCAAAAATATCGATCAGTTTGAAAATCGTTCCTTGTTAATGTGTTTAAATCTAGATAAAATTTTCAACAAACATTCTGCATTTATAAAACAAACATTGTATGATTATATTCTTAAAGGAAATTGAAAAGCAATTGCTAGATTTAAGAAAAAACTGATAATGTTGTATTTTGTACCTCTTACGGTCTAAATAAATCTGATCCTGACAGGAAATATTCAGTAATTTATGAAAATATAGACTTCTTGTCTGTAATATACGGACTAGGCGTTTCAGTCAAATGATATGGCAGAGCCCCTGTCACATCTCAGACTTGAACGGGAGG